GTAAATAATTACATCACGAAACTCACACAAACATTTCTCCTCAAGATCTCTACGTGTCTTCTGTAAATTCTGAACATTAAACGTCCTCCTTTCTAGGAAAATGGTCCTACTCTTTGGTTTGCGTAGGCTGATGCGCAACTTGGTGTACGACGTACCTCTTGCGATTCATGTACATTTGTGCCCATGTACTTTTGTGTACTTTCAAACCTCGAATTTCGTTTTGCACAAAAAGTGCAAGACATTTTCAAAAATCAACCATTTTCCTTATGAAATGCCAAATACAATGTATTAAACCGCATTTTTGAATGGCTAATAGAACGCAAATTGTAATATTATGTATCAATGTTTCATTAAATATCAACTTAGATAAGGATTTTACTTAAAAATTACTTATTTCCGAGAGCGCCAATATTAGGAGATATAATAGAGTAAAAACACCATAATAGGGGCTAATTTTCTTCTTCCATCGTTTGTGAAACTGGTTAGAAAAAGATCCGGTAAAATTAAGGATATTCTTATTAACACTTATATCTTGTGACTTTGAATACCACCTACACACTAATCCAATATAACAATACATTCTGAAGGCAGAGTTTTCTACAAAATGAATGTCGAATACCCGCACAATTTTTTGCATTTTTCAACAAGTCCTATACACTCTCGCCTCTAACGCATAGCGTCTCACTTTCGGTATGATTTTTCCTTTCTCGTTTTACTACGTACGTAGTTATTTACATACCTAGTAAAGAGAAGGTCATGCGGTGAAAACCGGCTATTAATCGACAGAAAAGTTATTTTAGCCTTGATACAAAAAAAAAAGTTTTGTAGACAGAACACACGCTTTGTAGGCCATTCCTACTGAATATTCGATTGATGGGAAACATGTCTCTCCGTCTGTTCGTGGTCTATGCTATCTCCTAAATCGTTGAGACGATTTTTCTAAAAATATTTTTTTTTCTGATCGATCTAAACGAACTCAACCCGCAAGTTTGAAACGAATATATGGATTTTGGGGAGTACTTTTCATGAATCCATAACGTTTTCAAACTTTTCTAAAAAAATACTTAATAATGTTTTAAAGCTTTGTTCTCGGATAGATTAAACACTTAAAAGAAATTGCGTTTACCTCGTTTTCATTCAAATCTCGAAGATTTTGAAATCTGCAAACGTTCAAATTTTTGGTGTCTTGAAACGCAGATATACCTTTTGGGGGTTCTTTACTCGAAGCCTCAAGGACATTTCGTCACTTTTCTCAAAAAATGGCTTTAAATTTTTTTCTTTAATTTTTTTCAGATTGAGTGCAGGGCACTTATAAAGATATCGCTGATCCGGTTATCGTTGAATTCATTAAATTTTAGAAAACTGCAGGGGTTTAAATTTTTCGGCATCTTTCTTCCACTACAATATTGTAGATGGATCGCGCAATCCATTCTTCAAAATTAGATTACGCGGGAAGAAAAGGTGATTTTTTGACAGGAAAATTCTCATTGCCGGGCATTAAGGAAATAGTGGATAAATCTTGTTCCTATATGTAGAAAATTACTTCTTCTAACATGTTGCGTAGCCAGAATTCACGGTTCGTGGGTACTTGATATCAAAAATTGGATAACTAGAAGACGTCCGTTCTCCGTCCATCGTTTGTCTGTCGGTCCGTCTGTGATCAACGCTAACAGCCAAACTGCAAGCTGAATTTTCACCAAAATTGATATTCCCCAATAAATCTAAACGATGGCGCAACTCCTTGAATTTAAAACAGATAAAGTGATTTTTATGGTACTTTACATGAAGATGTGCATGAAATATGTTGTTTCAAGATATATCTATTAATGAGATTATGTACAATTAGTTCAATATATGAGTATTTTTTGCGTAAATTTGAATGAAATTAAGGCAATTTTAACAACACTTTTTTAAAAGACTCCTTTGTTTCTTTAAATTTTTTCTTTGGATAAAAAAAGGACACTTAAAAATGACGTCAGTTTTATCCTCGTTGGACTCAGTAAATTTTCGAAGATTGCAACAGTTACTATTAATACAAGAAATTTTGTGCTGTTGTAGCAGTTCTGATTGTTAGAAGTCTTTTTAACTTAAAGATTTCATAAAGTACTGCAATAGAAAGTGAGAAGTGTGTGTGTGTGTGTGTGAGAGAGAGAGAGAGAGAGAGAGAGAGAGAGAGAGAGGAGAAGCAGGGAGAGGAGAGCAGAAAGAGAGGGTGAAGCAGGGAGAGGAGAGCAGAGAGGCGAGAGCAGGGAGAGATGAGAGCGAGAAGGGTTGAAAGAAAGAGAGAGAGAGGTATAAGTAAAATTAACAGTCTCAAGATCAAATATTTGCGATAGAATTTACATTTGATGTAAGTACATATTTTATAAATACGCATGATCAATATAAAAAATAGCATTAACGAGTTTCTCTAACAGTCCTGCTTTACAACCACTGTTACCATATCACAATTAATATTTCAGATTCATAAAATCTTTCAATTAAATAATAGTACCTTTTCATTGCAAGTTTGACGAGAATTACAAAGGTCAAAACATTAACTCTAAGGTGTACAAATGAAACCAACAGAATCCACTGGTGAATCTGTCTTCAACAATAAATATTTTCAACACGATACTAAATTCTCTATGCTTAGAATCATGGCGGAAATGGGATGTGAACGTGTCGTACGCGTTTTGTTCGACAATACAATAAAGATTAATATAAAATCAAACTTTTAATTTTCAGTGTTATCAATTTTATGCCATTCTTGCAGGAAAAAGAGGTTTGCTAAGTAAACACTCCATGGTTCATAATTGTTCCAGAAATATTTTTAAGTCATTAATTTTATTATTTACTTTCTAACTATTAAACTAAATGAGATCACTAAGCTATTCATATCAAACTGAGTCACACCAAACAGCTACCAGTAAAAATAGTCTTACTACACAATTTAATTTTAAATTCATTAAATCCGGAGTTTAGGGTGGCACAGTTCCTTTCATTAACTGATTTGGTTCATTGGAAGGGTATCGACTCTATGAACTGAATCCTTGTTTACTATTGGCGTGTAGTAATGTTCATGATGTTAACGCAATAAATATAATTTATATTTCACAAGGACAAGCTACTTAAACTTTCATTACTACTTTTACCCCACATTTTATTACAAAAAATAACAACTCCCCCGTTTTTTTTAACGAAATACTACTTAATACGTTTTATATGGTCTGGAAACTGCAGTATATTAATACAAAAGTCAACTCATATGTTCGTTGAAATTATAAATTTACAATTTTATTTAAACAAAGTTTTTTAACAATTTATTAATTATATCGCACTCACATTGTTATCAATTTCAGAATTTTCTTCGTATATCTAAAAAAATACTTATTATGAAATGAAGCTTCTAAAATTAATAAAAAATAAATAATAATACTTTAATTCTTAATATAATATAATATTAAACATACAGTTTTAAGGTTTCTTATTTTTAAAATAATTTATTTTCAATTTTTACGAGATATATAAGAGAATTTATACAATTAAATTAATAAATATATAAAAATAACCCACCTCTTGATTAACATGTCGAATTTTTCATTTTTAGAATTTCTTCTTCTTTCTTCGCCAAACATATTCTACCAAATACTAAGCAAAATAGTTCTCGACTTTGTGGCGTAGAGTTGAGCGTTATATCGCATTCCAAGTCCCTTCAATAGAATTTGTATGTGCACTAGTTTCAGGATATTTGAACTAATGTAAGGTGGCTGAACCCTTCATCCTTTAGGCAATCATCAACCTTCCAGAAATACGATATGAAAATAGATATCGGCTTGATGTAATTCTTGATATTCGACAGTACCTCCTTGCTACGACATTCAACGACTTTGAAACCTCTTTCAACACCACCAAACACCCATTTCCCTTCCACTCTTTTGCCTCTATTATACTTCCTCTTGTCAAATTTGCTCTCGTCAACTTTAACACCCTCTCCACCCAGTGCTTGACTTTCATATTTAATCACTACGAAACATACCTCAGATACCTCACATCACCCGAAAACTCAGCCAATCCGTAACAGTACTCTCACATACACCAGCATCCAAACGTTTGTGTTCAACCTCTGCTTCCATCACCCACTAGTGGATAATGAGAAGTACCTTCAATATCTCCAAGTGACTCCTCTCAAATCAAGAATCCTATCGCACAGAAATTTCACGCTATTTACCATTCTCGCCTCTGCAGATCCACTCACAATAATATGTTCTATTCTTTCTCTCAGTAAATTTCATATCACCCTTGCAAAAATTACATACAGGTCGAGATGCTAGCAAACTCACTTTCTGACACCACTGGATGACATTCAAAGTACCATCTCAACGCAAATTATAAAGAAAACCTGTATTCATATCTTCCATCTCAGTAGACAGACAACCCTACTAGAGGAAGACTTGAAATGCGAAAAACACGGAAATTCACGCCACAAAACTCTTCAGATACTTGACGTAATATCGCATTAGTTTTTAAAGTAAATAATTTAGTTGTTACATTAACAACGAAATTGGTTAATAGAAGAATGTTTAATTATTAACTCTTAACTATATATTTCAGTTCAAGCAGCAAGCAAATCCACATTTTGACAATTATTTTTAAAAAAATATTATGAAGTCTTATTTTAAATGTGAATTGATATTTTAAATGTATCGTGATGAAGAATAAATATTTCATAGTAGAAAAATGTATAGCTTTATATGGCTTTGACCCGTACTCATATTGTATGTATTTATACTTTGACCTTAGGAAATTACGAGTAATCAATTCCAGCTAAATTATTCTCGAGAACTCAACCAGTGATTCAAGTGAACTGCGACAATAAAAACTTTGGAATCATGAGAAATGATGAATCATAAAAGGAACCAAAGGAACCGTGCCCACCTAAAACGTGGACCAACCTTAAAATCATTTATCGTTTTATGTATGCGAAAATTCACGGTGCGTTATCTATTTTTACGCCAAGGCATGTGTACATATCACAAAGTATTGAACTCCTATAATAACGTCTTGTTACCACTTCCACAAAGAGTATCGGTGCAGTTATCTCGCAAAAATATGTATTCCTTGGCCGCCCAGGATATGATTTTTTCGTGTGCGCATGAGCAAGTAAATGGAGTATTCATAATGGAAATAGTGCCGTCAGCTTCAACGGGAAGATCCGCAGGGTCCAAATCCTTCAGTGGATTGCCATCCAAATCCAGCATAAACAATTTGGAATGCGGAGAGAAACTGCTCACCTGCAAATAAAGGAATCATTAGGTGCCTAAGAGCAAAATTAGGTACTTCGATTTATGCTCATTACATTTCTGTACACATTACAGAATACCGTAAGCCATACGAGCCTCCCACGTTAATATTAAGACTTGGAAATATTACGTTATTGTAGTTTATTTGGACATACGGAGGGAATATAGAAAACATGGACGGGTTGCTATTGTGGCGGGTATAAATAAACAATAGCCGCGGAGAATGAACGCATAGAATACGCATACCGTAGTCAGCATTAAAGGAAAAGCAAAGCGCCTTGTAGAAAAACTGTAAGGATGTACATGAGAGGCGTACTCGTAACCGGAGGGGAGAGAACCTCCCCTTTTAGCCGTTCGTCGCCTTGCTGAACATATCGTGCATGGGTAGGCTTCAGATTTTGTTTTAGAAGGGAACGCGTTGTCAGATATTGGCATAGAGCAGAGCAACAGTAGCGGAGAAAATATATATTTCTTTTACACAAAAGAATACACTTTTATATTAGTATTGATAATAGTTATGTGTACATTAGTAATTAAATAAGTTTTAAACAGATTAAATTAAATAATGAAATAGATATTGAAGTTCATTAAAAATGGCGTGCCCAGCGTGGGGCACATGGTAGTAATAAATATTGTGAATTTAAGATCATGACAATATGTTAAAAGAAGGATTATCTTTTTCGGAGGACAATGGGATAATTCAATACTTCACGTTTCTCTTTCCAAAGCCATTGAGGAAAAGATTCGTGAGGTACCTAATGTGAGAAATTATCACAAGGGTGTGTGAATAGGAACCATAAATTCGGATAAATATATAAACGTGACGGCAGCAACAATCATTAATCATCAATTATTATTATTATTATTATTACTATTATTATTATTAATTTAAAGAACACTGTTTTTATTTATGGCAAGGGTCAGGCCATAAGGCCTTTTGTACTACCTAACCACTGTAATGAATTTAAATTTGCAAAATTTTCAGTTGTGTTCGGGCGTAATAATATCAACTGGAATTTCACATTACAATGGAAAATGCAGTATGATACTATTTACATGAAATAACTTGTGCAGGCAATAACAGATCGCCATCACCTTCCATGATTTAAAAAATACACTAAACTTATGGAACTATTGACCTAGGCTGTTGAGGCGTCCAGAATTATAAATATTTTTATATATAAAGTAACTGGTATTATTATTATTATTATTATTATTATTATTATTATTTCTATTTGTAACCAGTGTTGTGTTATGAAATAGGGTGAATGGAATGTGGGAAAAAAGCACCACAATTCATCATAGTGCAATGCAATGAGGTGAAGTGAAAGGACGTGAAGAATGAAGGATTGCGTGGTGAAATTATGTATAATTTATTATTAGTTATTATTTAAAAGTAACAATTTTTTTGTAGAGTATTGTATTGTTGGCCGATATAAGCTTAATGAAGGTACACTTAAGATATTCTGACAGGAAGTTCTCACTCTTTATTGCAGAATAATAATAAATCGATTCGAATCTAACTTCCGAGTGAATTTTATTGACTTTTGTTTTCTATTCATGAAATCTCTTGCAATATAAAAATATCAATGATGTAAAAAATAAATTTAAACACTTTTGTAAAGTATTTTAGATCGTAAAATGAAGATATGTTACCAACTACTCACACTATTACATAATTAATAAAAATTTTAAACAGAAACCAAAAGATTATGTTAATTTTTTTTCGCGTTTTATTGTGCATGTAATTGCGAGAAATTGTCGCGAAAATATGAACGCAAAATCAAGCTATTTGCACAAACCAGCGGCAAATGATAAATGAGTTATGATAGCGATAGTGAATGGCGTTGAACTGAAATGTGCTTAAGCAATAGAATATTGATTGCTGATAAAGGAAGCAACAAATCTACATAAAACACACTTCCTTACCAACAAATGGTGTTCATAACAAGTTCCGTAGGGGAATTATTTATTAATACTTCATTCACTATATTAAACTCTTCTACTATGATTAATAACTAAGAAATTCTGTGTATATTCGGTGTTCGGTTTTCCCATAACTTTTTAAGGGTAAAGGTTAATAATTTTAATTTACAGTCGTCACAAAAAGGCTGGAATTTAACATTAATTGAACAACCATAGAACCCTGGAGGTAATTTATCAGATAGCACACTGAAGAAACATCAGTATCAAACCCAACTTACCTTTACTTCAGAAATGCTGTTGTTCTTAAGATGTAGGTAAGTGAGAGATCCGAGAGAAGCAAAAGCTTTCGTTATATCGTGTACTTTTGAATTCGACAATGTGAGTTCAGTAAGCGATGGAAGTTCTGAAAACGTCTTCTCAGACAACAAACTTGCATCAATGTTTGCCAAATAAAGAAGCTTCAGACTTGAACTGGAGAGAAATGGTAGATTCGCTGGAAGCTGCAAAGGATTCCTTGAAAGACATATCATCTTCAAGTTCGGACAATTTTCAAAGACATTGTTGCTGATGTATTCTAGTCGATTACCAGTTAGATCTATGTAGCCGAGTTTTTCCACTACCATTTCGGAAGGAATGATAGTAGTGATTTCATTCCAACTCAGCACAACAACTAGATCCTGTGAAACTTCGTTGAACCCAGCAAATGTCTCGAGAACCAATACAGGTATTTTGTTACCCATCATACTGAAATCAGTAAGCTTTGGAAATCGCATGGATAAGTCCTTGGGTATTTTTGTGAATCCGTTGTTGTCTACAACTAACTGTTGTACTGACATTACGGGGCTACTAGGAAATTCTATAATATCAGTTTCTGTACAAATGACACTAAACATATCACAGGTGCACAGAGAGGGACACCACTTCGAAGTGGTGTTTTTGTTGTCCAAGCGAATCGTCGAGTCATGGAGGATGGTAGAATCGGTTGGGTCTCTTCGCAAGGTCAAGTACAGCACTATCTGCGCGATGGCAACACTGAGCACCAACACCTGAAAATTCGAGTATTTTGAATTTGAAAATACCTCACCAACACTTAAATATAGGTTATAAAATAGTTGATGATGCAGAATTTAACTTAACAATAACAATTTACTAATAATAATATCATTATCATTTCTGCTATAGTTTTTAACATCATTAGGCCGATAGACATCAAATAATAGACGTTTCTGAAGTTTAAAAGTTTGAAGCTTGGGGTTTGTAAACTGAGGTGATAACCGAGGTTTATAGGCAACCAAGTATGTTATATGCGTTAACGTCCATGTGTCCTTGAAATGTCTTTCTTTTTAGTACGTACATATGAAAAGCCATTTTCCATTTCAATTCGATACGATTTTTTGATGCATCAGACGCGATAGTCTTTCATTTTGATTCATATCGGTGCGTGTGTCGCGGTAGTTTTGTTTCTACACAGATTTCAACCGATGTATGTTCCACTTTTTACGATGAAGGATATTCCAGACCATGGAGCTATGAATATATATTCACAGCTCCAAGTTACGGACAATGTTTTAGAAATTGCAAATGGTGCAAGTTTTGACTTGTTTCTCTTGAAAACTTGGTTAAGGTATGAAACAAAATAACAAGATTTTCAACACTGGCAAGTAAGAATGTGGACAAAGTAAATGAAACTTATGCCGGCGTATGGCGAAGAAAGATCCGAGTTGTACTCTTCCGCATCGTTGTGGACAAAATTCTCAATTATGTTCAGTAGTTTACAATTGTTGGCATATCAAAGCAACAATTCAACATTTGTCATTTTTACGTTTCAGTTAAGAAACTTTATTGATCAAGTGACATGTGAATTCAAGTTTACGGATTCGGAAAACACTGCTAGTCGAAAAAAGTCGCGATCTGCTCTCTTTGAAAGAACTTGGAAGTTGAGAGTCCTCGTCAGTAGCAGAGACTTATATTAAACAATCAGTATCGAATATAATAGAAATATCTAAACAGTTATTTAGTAGTCAGCACCGACGAGGTTGTATCAACATTAAAACATTCAAGTATGTGGATGTCGGCATCTTCGATATTTTTATGAAGGACTAAAACTTAGCAATATCAATAATTTTTTATCCAATATTGAAATTTACTTCAATGAGAAATTATAAGTTAAAATAAAAAAAAACTTTAATTGAACAGTAGAACATTATTTTTCCATGTGTTATCTTCATTATGTATGTTTCTGTTGTTTTCCATTTGTTTTCGATGTTTAATAAATGGTTTGAAGATCACGTGGTTTCTTAACGGCTGGGCGGAGACTTAAAATTTCCTTTTCATTCCTCTTGCGTTTCGCAGATATATTAACAGTACAGCAATACGAAAAAAATGTATATGGTCACTCCCGGTACTTCACACGATGGATTATAACGTGTTCCTCGCTGTAATTGCCATGCTACATGTATATTAAGGCGCAGTTCCACTACTTAACAAGTAAGATCAACATAAATGTTTAACGCATGAGAGTCGAAACATGCCAAATATATATTGAATGTTACACCATTAATATAACGACTACACTTGTTCACGTGACAGGTTTTTCACTGACAAGGAAAATGGATTCAGATGAACTCTGTATTTGAATTGGGTCATCGTTGTATTACTTTTATACTAGTATTTTCTGCATTAATCGACTCTTTTAGGATCCTGTCGGAGATCTGTTCTTTTGAATGCGTCATAGGAGCAGCTATATAACGTCCTCATATGATTACTAGCACTAAGTATCATGAGTTGTTTTTTTTGTCATGTAATTTTCGGTTTCCCTAAACTACTTTTTCACTGATTTTAGATTTATTTATTAGTTTTTATTTAGTTTATATTTTTCTATTATGTACAGATGCTTTGCGAATCGAGTAATTTCATTGTTAATTTAAAGGTAATTTTTCAGAAACTGAGATTTTATTTTCTTAAGAAGGAGTTGGCCTGAGGTAGGTTTATTGATATAAAGCTAAAGTCTTCGGAGGTTCTATTTAATATGTTGTAATATTCTTTTCTTTAATCTGTTTAGAAAAAAGTTCACACAAGATTATGAACAACCCAAACTTGTTCAATTTTATTTGTGGTACATATATCATTTGCTAACAAAAGACAGAACATTCGTAGAAAATATCTCTTATATATAGTTACTTCGACCTAAGCCTTGGTACCGCACAAGGTATGCCATGCATGTGTAGAGAGTCTGTGGGAAAATGGGTTGGGAAAATAAATGCCTTTTGTAAACTCTAAGTTTTGGAGAAAGCCAAAAATTCATGTGCGATTGTTGTTTTTGAGTTTTTAATTTTGCAAGTCAAAATGCAAAAAATAAGAAAGATATAGATGGTACATTCCTTCACCCTTTTGGCTTGCTATGCCCAGTAAATCTCTCACTGTGCTAATTCCACCTGCCGTTCGTGATGAAGCACCACCGCTTATTGAGAGCAGTTCAAAACGTAACTAGTAAAGGGACACTAACAAGAAGAGATTTCATCCGTCAAGAAGAATTTGAAATGAAATCCGCTAAGGAAAATTGAAATGCCCTAAAACCTTTCGTTTTCGAAATAAGTACCTCTTTATGTGAATTAGTATTAATAAGATAGCTAGTGAGGTAGATTCCTTCTAATAAACAAACAAACAAATAAATAAATAAATAAATAAATAAATAAATAAATAAATAAATAAATAAATAAATAAATAAATAAAAATATGTCCAGTTTCAAAAATATATTATGCTATTGATTTTTTTGATCGCGTAGATATCAGAGCTAAAAATAAATTTAAAGGAATTCATGAAATGTAAACAAATGAAATAAAATGTATTCAAATTAATTTCAAAAATTAATGTAAAAAATATTGACATTGTATGCCAGGTGCGTAAGAAAACTAGATCGCACATACCTTGCAGTGTCAGGGCCGAAAACAAAGTTCTGCGTTTTTTTTTTGTTTTTGTTTTTGAGGGAGTGTCTTGAACACAGAGCGTCGGTTGGCGGCGCGTGAGGGTGGGGTAGAAGGGGCGAGCTGGCAAAGAGTTTTAAGACCCAGGGTGCTGGTGGAGGCGTGAGGAGGGATGGCCGGGCGAAGGTGAGCATTATATAGCATAATTATTTTAGCATAATATATTATTGAAACCGGAAAATAACTTTTGTTTATTTTAATTCAGTTTTAACCTTACGTATACTATACGTACTATACGTATTACTATATAAAAATACGATTTTTAAAAGGAGTTGTAGTGTAACTAAGAATATGCCATTTGGTTTAGGCGAAACATCTTATCCTTTGGGCGCCACATCGTAGCCTCTAAAAGGTTTCTTGTTTCTTGTTTCTTCCATTCACCATTTTGTTTTACTTAAAATCTAGAACACCGAAAATTGTAATTGGAAAAACAGTTTTTTTCATGGAAACTCACGATCTAGCCCGGAGTTTGGCCGACAATACCCGAACGAAAGATTGACTTATGTTTCCATAGATGCTGGAATGCCGCAACATGTTGAAAACAAGTTCAGTACACTGACAGTCAATAGTGGAGTCATGGCTCTAGGCGCAACTCCAAGGAGGAGAAGAAAAAGATTGAGGTTATAAAAAAGAGAAAGATGAAGGGATAAAGGCGAAGGACAAACAACAAAGAGAGAAAGAAACATGAGAAAGATGGAAGGGAAAACATTACGATAAGAAAATGAAGTGACGAAGAAGGAACAGAAGAAAAATAATAAAAGAAAGGAAAACTGGTTAAAGGAGAAGAAGGAAAATAAAAAGGAGATGATGTAAGAGGAGCAGAGAAGGAGAAGGAAGAAATACACAAAACAGAAAAATAAAGAGCAGACATTTTCACTAAAATCTCAATATCATGCGCTCTATATTCGCTTAATGTAATGTAATCTCCATGTAATCTTATCTTCTGCATGTTGCCTCATAACACGTAGGTACATCGGGACGCCTACAGATAATAACAACAATAACAATAATAATAATAACAATAATTTGACTTTTAATATTGGTAGTTCACAGGAAGACATGCCTCTTACATATAACATACTTGCTAATATGATTTGCTTCGTTGAATGCGATGTCTTATTAGATGGGATAGGGGATGTGCGGTAGAACAAATAAGGGCCTAGTTCCTTTCCTTCGCCTTCTAAATATACAGTTTTCGTCATTGTTGCAGAGTGGCGTGTGTAATGATATCAACGTACCGCGTTCTTTCTCCGGCGTAATCTGTACCACGTGGTCGTAAGTCAGCACTGGAAGTGCCATCTCTGGGATACCAGCTGTACTCCGTTGGTCACAATTCACAAGTACTAAGATAACTTTGTCGATTTCGAACTTATTACGTACATCTTACTTCATGTACAGATGTCTACATCTCAGCAAACAAGAACAATCTTTTTTTCACGTATTGCAGTTTTCTGCATTATAGACAGTCACTTTCTAAAATCGAGGGTCTGTTGAATTGCGATATTAGGTTTTTAGAAATATTCAAAGACAAAACAATAAGAAATCTCAAATTGACCTTTATAAGAAAACGAAAGACTAAAATGCTAAAACAACGCAAAATACTTATATTCATATTATTATAATTAAATAGAGAATGAAGACTCATTGTATATAATTCAATTTGTGTACTTACCCATGTTAATGAGCACATCTGTATGACTTCTCTCTTCTGCGTGTCTTCAATGTAGTGTGCTATGAGATTGTTTCTGTCTCATATTCCGGAGATAAGGGAGCAGCATTCACGAGATAAATGCGCTAAAACCACAAACGTTTTTATCTTTGTCAAATGATAAGATTGTAAAGGTCAATGAAAAAAAAAGGCTGTCCATTTCATTACACGACGTTCATTCAACAGTTTTCCATGTTAATAGTCGACCATCAATAAGGTATTTTTACCCAATTATATTTAAATTCCTCTGGTATTGAAGAAACATGCCTCGCTTATGCACAGTTCTAGTATATAATATTCTCTGAAATGTTGCTAAAGGGAATGGAATTTTGAAGTTTCAAGTAATCTAAAACACACTTTTTTAACTTTACCATTAGTATGTACGGAAAATTATACAAATACAACATCTTCACATGATTGAGCATTAAAACCCATTTCATAGCAATAGTAACGATTGCAGAGCATTTGGTTAAATAAACTCCCTTTACCCTTATATCATCGTTTATAAACAACGAAAATGTATTCCAGATAACAGGAGTTTAAAAAAAGACCGATCCCCGTACGGTAAACAAGCATAACAGTATGCGTCGCAGTCCAAAGGGCGATCTGTCATTTCCCTACTTCCAGGCACTCTCATGTGTAAGAATAACAGCGCTCATGCAGGGTCCCCGAGTCCCCGATCCCGTCCAAGTAGCCGCTCACCCCCTCTCGCAGCTCTCGTCCTAATATCGCCTGGCTCTTCTGCGGCCGTGTCCTCTCGGTTAGAGAACGCAAACGATTGGGGGCCGGACGTTCAGAAACAACACCCGGAGAACAACAAATGGGGCGCTTGTCACAACACTGAGCGCACGCTTGCACCCTCCACGAGAACTATTGAGGCGAGAGTCCACTCAGAGGAGGCGGAGAGTGAGCGAGTGCATATTGATTCCAGTCGCCTCAATTGATGGATTTATTGATTTATTAGTGATTCCGGGCGCATCAACTTGATAAGATCGTTAGCCGCAAAGTAGTAATGCACGTTTTCATCCCGGAAGATGGAGGTGATATTTCTCCGTTGTGTGGTGAGATCAGGCACCGACCTACCGGTCGGTTTTCCCCAACTAGGTATCTCCCACCAGTGGGGCACCGCCCCAGCCGAGACAAGCTCTAAGCTCTCGACCGGTCTCCCGGCATGTGTGGTAATGAAGAGCATGTAAGGGTAAGTGGTAAGGAGTGAGGAGTGAGGATAGTAGAAGGAAGAGAAAGGAAAGATCGCGCGCGGTCCCCGGTCCATTTGTTTGGGGACTGCTTCGGCAAGCGCCTGATGTTCATCGGAGAAACTCTGGAGAACTACCGATCAGTGCAGCCAGCCCCTAGAATTCTCATCCAAACGGCGGCTAAATTCTCAGTCATAGTGAAGTGACGAAATGTACTTTTCTGAAATGCAAGGAATGTACTGCTTTCTGTCTTGACGATCTGCATCCACAGTTGCAACAGCTAGAGCTTTTCGTTTGTGAGATGCTAACTTAGTATATCTGCGTGAAGAAGAGCGAAATTCCGTAGCGATACTGGTAGACTCTACTGGTACTGCGTTTGTAGCGTAGGCGTGGGTGGATATAGCATTTCTTTTCTCGATTCGGAATAGATTGCGTGCGGCAGTAAATGCGCGAACTGGAAAATTCACCAGTAAAATATCCGATATATTTAGAATGAGTTCAAATAAACATTTAAACATAAACTTAAAGAAAATACATAGTATTCAATTACTTTTCCCCACTCGCCGGTCGTGAAATTATTGTATTTTTTGGCCATTGATAACGTTTTGTAATCATGCCTGGAGTAAATCTCGGTTTGTGTGCTGGTCTTTGGCTGATTAGGCCTTCTTTAGCCAATCATCACTGAATTGTTCTTTATGATACCAGAATACACGTTTCAGAAACTTCTTTTGCTACGAGTTTGATAGGCGTTTTTCGATTTTTAACGTAAACATCTAGAATTTTTCTGTCACTTTTCTCAGATTCTCACTTTTATGTTTTTCCTGAACTACGTGAAACTTCTAATTGCCAGCTATTTGATATCGAGCCACGTTTTTAGCTTTCAACAAGCCTGCTCTTCGACCAACTTTTATTGGCGACATATCACACCTTTTCCCCATTTTGAAAATTGTATCTTATTCACAAATCTCTTCTTACATACAACAATTTCTTATATACATCAAAAAGTGCACAACTCTTAGCAAAGAATTTACCTTGAGCAATTTAAATACCCTTGAACTTGTATAATCTCGACAAACTCTGGGGTTTTACGTTGTAATTGTGGCGCTCCCTTTTAGGCTTTTAGGCATTTACTAACTGAACAACAAGTCCCCAATCAACAAAAATATATGATCAGTGTTACAAACTCTAAGAAAGTATCTATAAAATTCAAAATTACAACTACATAGTCTCTAACGTACAATAATTTAATCATCATGAAAAGGAAAATGTGAAAATTGTGATTATTCAGCTTAGCTCTAATAATATAGCACGGTACAGTAATGGAACTCAAACTCTTTTGCAATTTTCCACTTTCTCTGAACAAAATTATAGAACATTTTGATTGATATTTTTAGGTTTTTGAGTGGTTATGTTTTCAGAAATTTCTGTTGAAAGAAAAGCCATTCGTATTTAAAGAAATGCGTGATTTAAAATAAAGTATAGATGCAAAGTACGTGTCCGTAACATAATAAATCTCATTATAAATTTCATTACTTTAAAAAAGTGATGTATAACGCTTAAATTAAGGCTTAAAACATCCAGATATTCACATGCAACAAATAACTCTTTAAAATAATAATCAATATTTTCGAAGGGAAATACACGTGTGCTCTAGCATCAGATTTAGAATCAAATTGCAGAGTGCAAACGAATTTGCGTGGGCAGGGATCAATTTTGAACTAGTAGTGGAACCCATTTTTATAACATATTCTAATTTCCAGTAGAAAATATGAAACTATTGTTCAGCTTTTTTATTACATCACCCCATCACACAGAACCATTGATCACACTAAAAAAGGAAAGATTTAAAGGTTTTATTTTATAAAAAGTCTACAAAACAATGTCTTTATCAATGCTTTTCAAACTTAATACACGGTCTGATTGATGATATAGTGACTATAAAATATGAAATCGGTCGCGAAAAGTAGTGATGCTAGCTTTACAATGAATTTACATACAGAATAAGAAATGTCCTAATGCCTATTTCTCGTAATGACGTCTTTCAGAAATACGAAAAGAGGAACTTACAGGAACTAAAATACGAACGTTACAAATGTGAAAGTATACAAACATTGCATTGAAAAAATAAGTATACGAGTACAAGTAAAAGGATGTAATGTTTGCGTTACTCTCTTTTCTTTTAATTGTTGACGTAGAATATCCATTGTAGTACGTGAATATCCATTGTAGTATGTGACGTAGAATATCCATCAGGATCTTCCATTGTAAAATTATTTCGTTATCGTGGAAGTCACTAGATAATTATAAATACACAATGCAAGGCCCACTAAGATGGAAATTGTTCCGAACGAGTATGACGCCATATATGTTAAAATTGTTCATAAATGTAATAAAAAAAATTAAACGTAAAAGTGGATAAAGGGGCCTCATTGTACTCGCTATAAATAAGAAAACTGGTAATTACTATTTTGTGAATGTTTTATGTTTTGCTTTACGCATTATTCTATTTTACTAGTATTTTTATATTTTACATACGTTTAGATCAGAGGATCGATTGCAATATAATAAATTAATATTGTACTTGTTCGTGATTGCTGTTGTGCAATACGTCAAAGCTGATAGCGGAGACGATGGCAAAAGAAATGGCAAAGATAAATCGAACATAGTGGGTTGGGCCCTTGCGTTCTTCCAGAATTGAATCTTCATTTTCGGTTCTACATAAAAATTTTACGAGAGAAGCACGCAGAGTGGCTGAAGTTTATGCGCGCCGCTTGAAATGGAGATGAAAACGAGTTCGTTCATTGCAGCTACACACTCAGTACACGATTTCTCCTAGAGCTGAGAATATACGCGATGGCTCTAGGATCAGAAGCTCCAAAGATTGATTGATTGATTGGCGATTTAGAGCACATCAACTGTTAAGGTCATTAGTCCCGTAAGTGTAGTGCGCGAGTTTATGGCGACAGGTGGCGGTGATATTCTGCATCTAGATCGCGAGATCCGGCACCGACCAATATCGGCATGAGGGGATTTTATCCTACCAGATATCTTTCACCAGCGTGGCACCGCCCCTGTCAGGACAAGCTCTAAGCTTCCAAAGAGTATGATCTACAAAGGATTAGAACGCTTTGAAAACATGATAATTTGTAACTACATTCTAACGTCAAAATGATATTAGGTGCTACAACAATATATATATATATATATATATATATATATATATATATATATATATATATATATATAAAATAAACTGTACAATAAATCTACCGAACTGTTTCGGACATTTTCAGAATATATTTAAAGTCAAGGAGATTTTAAGGAGCGAAAATAGTAAAAATGGTTTTTATTTTTTAACTTCAGCCCAGTAATCGAAAAAATCTTAAATAAACCCACAACAATTTATGTTTTGAGAGAAACTTTTGAGATTTTTTTCGCACCTGTTCCAGGGTTTTAAGACACTATTCAAGCGTTCGTTACTTGTTTAAAAAAAGTTTGCGTTTAATTTGGCGTAGAGAAAATATCAAAAATGTTTTTCTGATATAATAAATTATTATCTTATTTTTCATATTTTAATAAGATAAAATGGAGTTAAGTTAACGAAAAAATTGAAATTGAAAAAACATGCCTTTGGCTGTTGAGGAGCGCGAGCATAAATATTCATTTTATGTTAGAGTAAAAGTATAACTTCTCATTTGGCATTGGGTTGAGAGGAACGTTTTCCATCTTATCCGGGGGTACACTTAATTAAGGACTTGTGACAGTAACAAGATGAAACTCTCTTCGACGAAAATAGAGATATCAACCACTGGGAACAGAAACCCTACATTACCTTCAATATTCTTGTCAATACAAGGGGGATTTTACTCCCCAGGATGTGCACCTGAGCATTGATACTTTCCTTCACAACAGCGGGTATACAACTATACAGTTGCGTTGGTGCCCGGACACACCGGTATGCGATATCGAAGCGCGAGAATAGCGATAGGCATCTATATCCTAGCTACCTATATCCTGAGTAAGGGCGTCTCGCAAGCTCGTATCTATCAAATTTCCGGGTTGGTGTAGCTTCTGTTTATGTAGCTTACTGCGTTCGGAACTGCCCTTCCTCAATACCCGCGAGTATCGGACACGCTCATGACCAGCCCAACTTGCACTCGGGTGGTATGGACACCCCCCTCCCCTCAACTCGTCTTCTTACTGTGGACTACCGTTGCTAATGTTTCACCGGGAATCTTCGCACTCAGGTGAGATTAACATTCCCCGCTAGTTCTTCTACAAGTGAGATCACAACCCAAAGCCGTGACCCCAACCCCGCCCGCGAGGAACTTTTAGAAACAGCGGACGCACTGCATGGGCGACAACCCCACACATTCTTGTCTTACCAGGAGGATGTTACTCCCCAGAGTGAGCAACTAGCCGTTAGCCTTTATCCACTATCCACTTGGTGGCACAATCAGATTCGGATTAAGAGCGTCGAGATACTTCACCGAGAAACATGTGTCAAGTCTTTGGTTTGACAACTGTTTTTTGTTTGCCTGTGTAAACATGGATTACTACAATATCTCTGCTATCACCATACAATTTATTCACAACATAGATCGAGTGAATGCAACAAAAATCTACGCCAACTTATGAAGAAAATTCTGTACAGTAAATCGTAGTATTAGGTTCAACAAAGTTGCTTATTTACGTATTAATTCATATTCTAATTAAATTTGTTCGTTCATTTACAAAGAAAAAATGTATTGCGAAATGGTGAAAATCTTATAAACTCCGATTTAAACATAGAGTCACTTGAAGGTCACGAGCTGGTCGGAGAGGGGGGACATCATCGTCCAAACGGGAGCTTCGTTACGATAAAGTTTTGGTATTGGAGCTCGGAATTGGATGTCAATGTCTCCCTGTGCTTCCAGCTTGTGAGATTGAGGTGCCATTATGTATAAATCGGAGTACAGTTGTACTGTACAACGACGTTGCTCGGGGTCAAACAAACCGATTATCTCACAAACTATCCTACCTATGAAGCTACAACTTCACAAATGTTTCTTTGAGAAATGAGACTCGGCATACAATATTTCAGCCAAATCCAAGATAGTCGCGCGAGGAGCCCTAGACCAATTAATAAGGAATGACTCATATCGTCTCATATATTATTTCAGTAGTATAGTAGAGTTTTGCGGCTCTCACGCGCAACCAATCTTTATAAATGAGATGTTTAAAGAAAGAGACTTTCACAGAGATGTGACGAGTTTAAAAACTAGCGGCACTACAGAATGGCACAGTTTCTCGTACTACTTAATTTTCTAATTTCTTCGTTCTGGTCTAGTTGTAAAGCTAGTCCTTAAGGTGCTTGTAAAGGAGCCCGTAAGCATTTTGAAAAAGAGGTGAAAATGTCCCTGGGATTTCATGTAAAGTGCCCCCTAATTTTAAAGAATGATTTTCAAAATCTCAAAGCTGCAACACGAGCCAGATCGAACGCGGAATATCCATTTTGAAAAAATCGTGCGTATGGTTTAGGCGCATGTTGTGTTCAGAAACGGACGGACGGACGGACGGACGGACAGTCAGACGGACGGACGTTTTGCAATCAATTAATTTTTCGCTATCAAGGATCCACAAAACAAGGATTCTGTCTACAACACGTGTTAGAGGATTTTTTCCAAAAATTTAGCAACTGGATTTACCCAGTTTTTCGTTATTAGAGCCCAGCAATGAGAACTTTTCTGCCCCAAATTCGCCTTTTTTCGCGTAGCGTTACATAAGTTTCTCTATACTACGTATATTACTTTGTATGGTACGTATATGAAAAATAAAACTGACGGATTTGTTGAAAAAGCGCATCAAAATACTCACGTCAAATGCAATACGAAAAACTCGGGTAGCATTATTAAAATCTATGTAGTTAAATAACTCCTAAACAAAGTGTTATAGGGTC